CATTCAAATGTAATGGACAATGTACATAAATTATAAAAAATAATAGACTAGCAGGTCACATAAACCACTGTTGCAGTCAAATGATTGTACTTAATGTTGAATGATAATGGTGGCAAGAGAATATTAACAATGAAAATGGCGTACAATCAAATGACCAACACAACAAAATAAATGAAATGGATCTATAAAATTCATTGAGCATGAATCAAAATGATAAAAATAGGGCTTATATACAATATGAACGTAATTGAATGACAAAGGGACGTTAGGAAACACTAATTTACATAATAGTATCTTAGAAATAGGGTGATGAGATGGGGACTAAACTTATTTTTCCCACCGCACTGAGAGGAAGTGGAAGAGAAAATATATTGTTTAGTACAAACAGCAGGTTAGGAACTCAGTTCAATATGAACACAATTATAAATGGCAATAACTTAAAATAAGGGTTCTCTCTATGGCTGACACATTTTTGATAAGGGGAATATTTCCAGAAATGAAAATCAGACAATGAGAATCTGTGCTCCAACAAACAATATCTTCTTAACTGTTCATAAAAATGCTTTTTCATTTTGGGTTTTGACTACAGGAACACCTTTTTAGGCAAACTGGAATGTTAAATATGAGAAGCAATTTACAATTCTACACTAGTACGGGGGGTGTTTCTTGATAATGGTGGTAATGATGATGAATATGTTCATGAACATGATGGTGTTCGTGCTGCTTAACATCTCCAGCTGATGGTGCCGGTTCTTCATCATGAGGTGTTGATTGAGGAGTGTTACTGGAGATATTAGGTCCCGGATGGGTGGTTGCAGATGGAGCTGGGGCCGGCTCTGTTGGCGATGTAAATGACTTACTCTTCGTACGATGAGCCTTGGCATTGATAAGAACCTCCTGCACACCAGCAGTTGTCCTAGTGTTGAGGGAAGCTGAAAACTCCTGCTCCAGCCATTGCACAACCTGTGAGGGAGATTTTAAAAAAACCATCAGTCAAGGTACCCGGTTGTGGAGTTAGTATGTAAACATGCCCAAGAAGAACACCAAGGTCAAAATTACGTTAAAATAACGTCAAAGTGAAGTCATTTTGACCCCGTCCTGACGTTGTGTTCTCACTGAGGCAGCACCAGATTGTGAACAATCTAAGAGCAGCGCCAACACTTGTGCTTCTCACCTGCGCCATGGCTCGCGCCTGGTCCTGCTCGCGGTTGCGATGCTTGAGGTGATGGGGTGAGGACGTGTGGCCTGCGGCCGTCGGGGGTAGACGGGTCCTCCTGTTGGCCGCGGGGGACTTGGCCGGCCTCACGTTGAAGGCCTGCACGCTGCTGGTGTTGTCCTCCTGGAGCAAGGTGTACCGGAACAGCGGCGCGGCAGGGTTGTGACTATGACTATGGTTGTGACTGTGCTGGTGCGCGTGGTTGTGGTTGTGGGTGTTGGTGGTGGTGAGGTCGTGGGAGCGAGACCGGTTGTGGCCCCTGTCTCGGCAAGGCTGTAGGCAGAAGGTAACGCAAAAATTTAGTCATCGAACTGCGACGAGTAAATCGACACACCGCCCGAGGCAAGACTCACCACATTATGGTACATGGGCTGGTGCTTCGGCGTGCACACCACGTATCTGTACGTGTCGGCGTCCCCGGGGGCGTTCTCTCCCTTGTCGGCCAGGTTCACGTAGTAGGGGGTGGTGGCGTAGTCGTAAATGCGCTGGGGCGAGTTGGACGCGGACAGCGACATGGGCGGGGCGGCCTTCTTCTGCCGGTGGCGGTGGCGGTGCGGGTGCACGCCACTGTGGCTGTGCCGCCTCTCCTCCAAGCCCGTCCTCTCGCTGCACGACTTTCTGAAGGGCGCAGAGACAGGCGGTTAGAGAAAGCCCGAGGAACAAAACAAGAACCGGAATGCGAGCCGAAGACTTACTTAGCCATCTTCTCCATGTTAGCCTGGATGATCTGCAGCAGCTCCTGGCGCTGCATGCTCGAGGACCGCTTCTTGACGTGAGGCGAGTGGCAGCCGTTGGCGGCGACGTTAGCCGCCACGCTGGCCACGGCCGCGGCGGCCACGCTGGCTGGAGACAGCCCTGTGGCCGGGCACGTCCGCCCTCCGTCGTCGTCCTCGTCCTCGATGTCATCCTCGTCGGCGGAGCCGTCGACCTCTACGTCGCCGCCCTCGCTGCCGGCACCGCTGCGGCAGCTGCTGCTGCAGCTGTGCACGACATAGCCCCTGCGCAAAGGAGAGAAAGGAATTGTTAGTCCAGGAAGGGCGTCGCCTCGTGCTACGGAGAACGCGACTCAAGCACTGCCGTGGGGCACCCGAGGGGCGTCGGCGGGTACCTACCTGTCCTCGCTGGGCTCCCGCTCCCGCTGGGGCGGGGGTGGAGGTGGTGGGGCCGAGACTGGGACCGGAGCCGGGGCCGGGGCCGGGGCCGGGGCCGGGGCCGGGGTTGAGGCCGCTGACGGCCTCCGCCGCACACTCGCGCTGGAGGTCCTCCGGGGCCGCGGCGGCCGCCTCTCCTGGATGGTGACGTTCAGGTCCCGCTTGAAGCGCACGCGGGTGGGCGGCGTGGTCTGGGGCTCATCGTCGGCGTGCTCGGCTACTGGGGGTACGCCGTTGACATACGTAGGGTTGCTGGTGCCGTTCGCATCGGACGAGCCCATGGCTGCGCGCTTGTCCGGGGATACGGTCAGCTTCACCTTGATGGTCTTGCTTCCGTAGTGCGGCACCTTTATGGAAGCGCCGAGGGTATCGTAGATTGTGCTCACGAGTCCGGTGATGTCCTGCAAGGCAAGCCGACCGTGGTAAGACAGGGCTGCGCGATGTGGGTCCACGGACCAAAAGAAAAGGCGACCTCAGACTCTCATACTTACGTCCTTCGTGATTTTGCCGTGGCCATCAAAATCGTACAAGGTAAATGAAAATTCTTGTCGCTCCTGACCCGCCTCGTCGACCCCCCCTTCCACGGACACGTCGCACTCAAACTCCTCGAAGTTGAGATGCCTGTTGGTGGGGCTGGGCTGTGGCTGCGGCTGTGTGGTGTTCTGGTCTCCGGCCTGCTTGTCCTGCTCCTTGACTCGCCCCGGCCGCTCGGGGCTGGGCAGTCGCTCTCGGCGCGCTGCGCGCTCCTGGCTGGGCGTCCTCTCGCGCTCCTTGTCGCGGACGCTGGCCGGGGGAGGCGCGGGGCTGCTGGGCGCGGGGCTGGGCGCGCGAGAGTCCTGCGGCGGCGGCTGTCCGGCCCGCAGCAGCTCTTCCGTGTCCGACCGACCATCATTGCTGTCTTGCTGGAGCACTGCAACAAAACAACGACCACAACATGTAATCCTTCTTCTTCAGGACAGAACAGGACAAGCCGGCGCGGCGGTGGCGTGGCGGAGCTGTCCGGGGCCCTTCCTCGGGGCGGGGTGAGGCGGGGC